AATGTCAAGAAGGATATAATGAGAAGTTGGCTGTTTGCACGTAGATTGCTTTGGGAAGTGTGGATATTTTAGCAATAGTAAGTCTTCTAACCCATGTTTACATTTAATTATTTAACCTGTTTTAGTCGATGTTTCTGTATGGTGTAAGAAAAAGGCATTCTTTTGCATGAGGATTTCCAGTTTCTTGGCCGCATTTATTAAAGAGGCTCCTTCCTGTTGTATATGCTTGGCACTCTTATCTTAGGATGTGCAACATTACAATTACCCCTGTATAGCATGCTTTTTTTTTTAGTGCTGTTGAAATCAATGAAGACAGACCTGGCTCAGCAAGATGTCGGGCCCCTGTCTCTAGTGTCTGGCATAGATTTGAAAGGGTAAGTTTCTAAGCTGGAAAACTTGAATGTAAAAGATTAGGTATTATTAAGTTCCACTGTTACACCCAGATTCCTGAGATAGTTAAAACAAAGCCCTACTGGCCATTTAGCCTAGGGCCCTGTGCAGTTTGTCACAGGGCCAGAACCAATCAGTTTGAATGTGTAACCAGCTTAGGAATGACCAATCACCCCCGCCCAACCTGTTCCCCCCAATGAATGTGCCAATCAAGTCTCAGAGTTTTTGTTCAATTTTCCCGCGCCTCATGATGATTTGTTCTGATGTATGCAAAGCCCCCCCCCTGCCATCCCCAAAAAGTGTACTTAAGCTCTGTTTGAACCTCTGCTCGGGGCTCTGGGCTGCTCTCCCTTCTTGAGTAAGCACGGAGCCCCAGCCCGCTGGAATGGATCCCCAATAAATCCCCTTTTGCCAATTGCATGGAGTAAGTCTCTTGTGTGGTCTCTCCCTCTGACGCTCCACCGGACCCCTCTTACTGATTCAAAGGCGGGCAGAGGAGTTTTCATAATGAAGAACAGAGCAGGCTTCTGGTGTCCCCTTCTGGAGGTTGCTGGCATGGCGTGGCTCACCAGAAGTGAGACAGCATGTGGAAGTGGTGTGGGGAGCTTACCGGGTCTTGTTTGGTGCTCCTGCGCTGGAAGTGAAGCCAGAATCAGACAGGCAGTCAGTGGAGATAGGTAAATGGAGTCAGGTCGGATCGAGGAGGCCAATTTTGAGTGAGTCTGGGAAGTTGGAGACTGTCCCCTGAGGGATTAAAATGTTAATCCCTTGAGACCCCTTCCTCCACCCTTATCAAGAGCCTGCCCCCGCCACAACCTGCTTCCAAGGTAACCTGTCCCAGGAATAGCCCCTCCCTATAGGGAGCTATAAGGTTGCTAATGTGTCCTGCTCCATCCTGCCCTACCCCTTCAGCCCACCTGTCTCCCACCTTTTGGTCATCCTGAGGTGAGGTTTGTCATCCAAGCCCATTAATGAGGCCAAGGGAAGGCAAAGCCTTCTCTGACCAGCATCACATGCTCGTCAGCTGTAGCCCTGGGGTGGGCAGGCTGGGTTAGCAAAGCACTGACTGGCTCTTTGCTTTTGCTCCTCTTTTTCTGTCCCTGCTAGCTCTCATCCCTAGGCTGCTTGGCTGAGTTCTTTTTCTAATGGATTCCAGTGGGATTTGGTTGCAAAGGCAGTGCCCTTTGCATAAAAAAGAACAAAAGACCACTCAAGACCAGTTTCTAGGGTTCTTTCTTTGTCTTTATTCAGCCACATAAACGCATCCTTTGGGTGCAAAGCAGTCTTTTGTGAGGTGGGCCTGGGCTCTTGGGTGAGGTCTTTGGGAACAGATTTTGCTGGACAGCTCTGGCTCTAGGTGTGCTGCCCAGGATAGCTCTCTTCCTAAAATGTTTCAGGACTTCCCAGAGCCTTCAGGCGCACAGAAGTCTTGGGCATCACCCTCTAGCTTTAGACATAACAGGTGGGAGAGGCTCGGGAGTATCAAAGCCTCCCCTGGAGCCAGTTGGGGAGGAGGGTGGTGGCCTTCAGCATGTAACTGTGGCTTCTAACTGTGAAGGCAGTGTCACTGTAAGGGAGGAGTCAAAAGCTGTAATCTACTCTATGCATCGGAAGAGCCTTTTGGAAGATCTTTTCCTTATAGAAAAATCAGGAAAATAACAACAAGGAAAGCCAGCAAACTAATGAGTTTAAACAGACTTTCAAAGGAAGACGGGGATTCTCGTGCAGTTCGAGTTTTGGTGGCCTTGAGGGTTCGGTCCCACTGTGTCAGGATGGTGTTTCTGGCTCCTTGCCATTTTCCTGGGCCTGTCAGGCGGAACTGGTATGGTGAGCAGGGACCAAAGAAGATGGCCAAGGCCAGGCGTGGGTCGGTCAGGAGCAGAGAGAAGAGGTTGGGCTTTGCATTGATATAGGTCAGGAGCTCGTCCACGTATTCAATGTAATCCGATTGTAAAGCCTTGCAGTAGTGCAAACCGAACCTTTGTAAAAGGAAGATGGTGGTGGGGGAGACAAAAAGACAACAGGATAATAACCTTAGAACACAGCTGCCGCCTCCTTCTGCCTCTTTAGACTCAGCTATCACTGCATTTGCCTGGTGGGAAGAGCCAGGACACTGTGGGTGGAGTCTTCGCAGTGCTGGTTCTGAGCCAGCAGCTTATTCTGCAAGGGCCTGCTGGCTTGCACCCCGGGGCTGAGGCTCCTCTTTCCTTGGCCAGCTCTTCTACTGACCCCACCCCGCGAGTCTCCGATACTCCAGAAGCTCCCCTCTTTTCCCCAGTGTAACTGCACCTCTCTGCTCTAGTTTCCCTGTGATTCAGAAAAGGCGCCTATGCGGTGCACTCACCCACTGGGCTTGTTCTGTTTCCTTTTCTCCACTTCCTCTATCCTGACGCTAGGTGGCGGCAACGTATGCAGACCTGTGGATAGACAGGACCATGCAGTTTGACTTTGGTGCCCACTGGTGGACAGGGGAGCTTTACTCCCTCGTCCTTCATGTCCAGTGCCCTGCAACTCATCAGGTCTGGAGAAAACGTCCTCTGCCTGAGCTGATGCTGTGCTCCTGGCAATTCTGTCACCCTCAGAAAGCACAGGCACCCCTTCATCTCACTACTTAATGCAGCAGAACATCACAGTGGGTACAGACTTGTCACTCTGTTGGCCAAACTTTTACATTTTAATTGAACCTGTCAATGCAGTCAAAATAACAGGAAGATGGAGTTTATATTTTTGATACCTAGTATATCATTTGTGCTGGTAAATGGTCCAAATCACCCTGACAGGTAATCCAGGGAACTATAGAATGGATCCTGCTTTTAAAGATGCTGTCATTTTAAATGTCAGCTGGTAATGGTTTCAAAACCTCCAGTGTCCAAAGTCACCTGCCCTGCTGCTTCCCACACTCACCTTTCAGGACTTGGACCACCCATCGAGCTTGTACCTCTCCTGTGGGTATCATGGAGCCGAAGGGCTTGATGAGGCCAATCACAGCCAGGGTTGGCTTTTGCAGGTGCGCAGGGAAGACAAACTTGTACAGAGATGCCTGGCCACCTTCAACTTTCACAACAGATTCATCGAGGAAGGGGAAAGCAAAGGTGTACCCAGTGGCAAAGACGATGATGTCAACGGGCTCCTCCTTTGGGGTGTTGCTGAAGAGCACGGAGTTTTCCTTCACCTCTTTTATGCTGGGCTTGATCTGCACCTTGCCAGTGATGATGCAGCCCGGGAGGTCGTCGTTGATCACGGGCTCTCTTAACTGCACCCTGCACCAAACCACAGGCAGGGGAGAGTGCTGACCAAACAGCTTAGCCTCCCTCCTCCTCCCCTAACTCTCCAGTTGGGGCCTCTCCCGGGCTGGACAAGAGGTGCCAGTCTTGGGGGAAGCTCCCTCGGTGGGAGGGGATTCAGGGATGTCCAAGGCTGACAACTGATTAGAGTTTGGGAGCCTGTGAGGAGCCAGTGCGTTCCCAGCCCCTTTACCCTCACTGTCTTCAGTGTTCAGCAATCACCTGTCATCTAGAGATCTCCCAGTGCTGCAGGGCTGGGAGGGGAGCCTCTGTATCCTGGGAACACTGCTGGAAGCTCTAGCCAGTCCCTTCTCTTCCAGAAAGCAGTTGTGTAAGGAAAACCCATGTGTTCAAAGGAACCAGGCGAGAGCCATCTTCTATGGCTGTATCTCTGAGATCGTAAAATGAGCAGTTTGTGAGTTGCTCTTGCATAAGCTGTTTTGGCTTATGGTGAATGCACAGGACGAGATGGTGTGGTGAAATGGAGGCAAATGATGGTAATAAGGGTGGTTCCTTGTCCAACTGCTTCTATCTAACAAAGCTTGGGCAAGCCATTTAGGACCTATAGGCTTTCTTCTATTCACCAACACGTGGGACACTTACACTTGCCATCCTTAAGTCATTGGGTAGAATGAAGAACATATGGCAAAGGACAACCTGCATTGAAGCGAGGAGATACCATAGCTCTATGTATGTACTATGGACAGAGTTTGTGGTGGAAGGAGTCCCAGCCCCTGAGATGCCTGGAGGCAGGGAGTGGAGATAAGAAATGGGTGGTGGTGGTGGTGGGGACAATAGAGAGAAGGGCATGTTGAAAGCCCAGGAACGGGCTGCAGGCCCCCAGTGGTGACTGGGACCACCCATTCATGTTGGTCCAGACTGAGGTCTGGAGGGAGACCAGACAGGATCTCCAGCTGCAGTGTCAGCTGGTAGTGGCTTTCCACCCTGTAAACCTACTGAACACAGAAGTAAGACTTTTGGTTCTTGCTGGGGGATAAGTTGTAGGTTGTAAATGAAGAGACAGACTGACATCACGGTCATCTCTGCCATGAGAGAGGCAAGGAAGGGCAGCCAAAGGATTCCATTTTTTCCAGCATAATGAAGCAAAGCAAGTATGCTGTTTTGTGAACAAAGTCCGTTTGCTGCTGTGGAGGCCCATGTAGCTTGCTGAGGCCCCAGTGCCCACTCACTGCTCAATCAGTGCAAGTGACTGTATTTTGCTAAGCCTCCATTTCCCACAGTAATGAGGAGATAATGATAACTCCTACCTCAAAGAGCTGTTCACAGTCCACCATTCACCCACCAATCACTTAGGAGCTACTATTATCAAGGGGAATCAAATGCAGTTTTGGTTTGTTGTCGCGTTGCTGTGACCTTGCCTGGCTTGCATATGCCACTCAGAGCCCATCTCCCTGATAGCCCTGGACAGATAGATTATATCTGTCTTATATCTTACCTGTCGTCTGGTGCTAAGCCATAATTCACATGATCGAACCAGCTGTTCATCTTTCTTGCCAGCAACCAACTCACAATTGGAGTTGGGAGAGCATTTCTGAACATGTTCTGAAATCGTGTTGTGAACACCATGTCCCACGGGTTCCCTGAGTCCGAGATTCTGCTCATCACCCATGCCCCTCCAGTGGTGCTGAGGAACACCTGGAAGCAATCAGAGATTCGAGATGGGTCATGACCTGAAAGGCACCGTGTGTCTGTCACCCTCAAAATCCAGACCCAACGAAATAGTCTTGGCTCTTCTAACCACTCTTTTATTATTATTATAATATATAATTATAAGTTATTATAAGTTATAATTATAGGTTATTCTAATATATAATTATAAGTTATTCTAATGGGATAATTTTGGAAAATGTAGTGTATTAAAGCATTATTGTCTGCCAGGCTTGAGATACCTGGGGACCTCGGCGTGCCACATGGGAAGATACTGGGCAGGGATCGCAGGTACCTGCACTAATCCCACTTGTTTGCAATGAGAACAGGCTGTGGAAGCCATCAGGGCTGTCTGCAAAGGTAATTTCTCCACACACTACTGGTTTTACTGGCAGTAAAATTCAGTAATACAATCAGTCTTTTTTTTTTTTTTATCAGATTGGCTGGCTGAGTTTACCACCCAGTTCACTAAGCTCGTTGTTGTATTGGTACCTACAGGACAAGTAATTTCCTGTGTAATTGTTCCAAACACACACACACACACAATTGGTTAACTCATCCTTTACTTTGTTAGTACAAGACAACTGATTCAACAGTGCTCGTCTCCCACCTGACGGGGCACGAGGGCCACAGCCACAGCGCCAGTGCTTTTGTCTGACTTTATGACACGGAGTGTGGCGTCTGGCACTGCACATGGCCGGCGAGAGCTGCAGGCCAGGGCTGCTCTGACGGCTTGTGCACGACCCTGCCTCTGACATGACGCGGAATCAGAGGGGACCTTTCAGTGGATGTGAATTGTGACCCAAGCTAAGGGGGGTTTCTTTGCTGATGATAAGATGTATGCCAAAGCATGTTTTCTGATTAAAGAAACTTCCAGATGGTCAGTGACACAGAAATAACCCTACGTCACACCCACACCAGGTGGGCCTGGGGGATGGTCCTTTTCCTTTCTTCAGATAATTCACCCTAAGCGCCTTCAAATCAATCAATCCATCTGTCAGCCAGCGAATCGGTCATCAAGCCCTTGGCCTCCTCTCATGCATGCAGGGGGACCAGTGGCCCCACTTCAGTGGCTTGTTTTGGTGATGAGGTGGCCACGCAGTGGAAGGCGTTTAGTGCAGTGCTTGGCAGAGTCTCCCAATCAGCAGTTACAATTTCTGCAGTCACCATCTCCTAACTGTGACATTTCCACTGCAGTGGGCCCACTGGGGGAGGGGCATGGACCCCCATGGGGGAGTGGCAACGAGTAAGGAAAGATGGGGCAGGTGGGAGACCTTAGCCAGAAATAGTTGCCAGGATCTCCTGACTTCGGGACTGGATGGAGAAGAGGTGTGTCCCAGAGCTCTTGCTGGTTGACTGGGAAATGACATGTGTGACAGGTCAGAGAAGCTGGTTTTGGAGGAGAGAAGACAACTGGATTTCACAGTAAAATTCATGAACACTCAATACAAACTATGAACACTGAATAAAAGTCTATTGTGTGTTAGGCTTTTGTGCTCCCTGAACATCTGTCACGGTGTCAAACGCAGCCTGAGACACGCCTCCTATGACAAAGCTCTTCACTAAGACACATCAAGAGCAGTACCTTCTTTGCCAGGTGGCTGGCCTCCACAGCAATGTCTGTGCCGGAATTTCCCATTCCAACCACAAGGACTCTCTTATCCTTAAACATGTCTGGATATTTATACTGTCGGCTATGAAAGTACTGGCCTTTAAAAGTATGTATACCTAGAGATAAAACAAGGTCAAATAGAAGATTTATAGGGTCAGTGAATAAAGTACTAATATTTTTCGGTTGATAGCACCGTTTTGACAGTTAATTCAGGTTATTTTTACTAATGCATTCAAGTTTGAGGAAATCTGAAATACAAATTCAAGACTTTGTAAAATATCGTCAGGGAATGACTCCATGTTATTAGACGGGCCGTGAGCTGTACCTACAAGATGGTCAACTCCTGAGCTGCAGCATTATGTTATAAAAATGTTTTAAGCAGGAGTCCTTACGTTTAAGGGCTGTTGGAAGTCAGCGGATGACGTTCTGTTCACTAATACCCAACTCTTGCAGGCTGCATAGCTTTTCACCTCCAACGGACAGGAGTAGAGAATCTAAAGGGAACTGTGAACCAGTGCCTCTACTCGGGGACATGGGCTGTGTGCCTTCCACTATGTGCCTGCCACTGTGCTAGACGAAATGGGGAAATAAGACAAATTCACCAAGATCCATGTGAGCTTGGGAAGTTCACTGGTAGTTCACCTCGGTGACTGACAGTAACTCGGCCTGAGTTTGCTGAGTCATCCAGAGAAAATTGGGTTGTGGCCGACACCAGGATTTTGGGGCTAGCTGTATCTCGGCAGTCAGTGCCAGACTAAACTTATTGAGACATCCAATGCAAAGGGAGACTCTTTGAAAATTCTCTCAAGGCCATGTTTCACAATCAGAAGTAATTTGAACTGAACAAAGAACCAGTTGATAAGATACTGAGATTCTCCTGGGGGATAAAGGTATCTGCTTGTGAGTAGTGGCCTTGTCAAGACCAGGTGACCCTGAACCCTTAGGATTCTAGCTTGAATCCTGGTTAAAACCTGACCACAGTCCAAAGCTTACAGAATATAGCCTGGATGCAAACAAGTTCAAATATTAACTCAGTACAAAAACCCAACATGAACCCCTGAGAAGGGAGAGCTGAAGTCTTTGGGTTACCTTAGATTCTCCCCGGAGTAGGCTATTCATATGGCTGAGTTGCTTTCTTACCTCAACGTGGATAGAGGGGGAACTTATATTGGGTGAATGTGGCTGTGTTAGTGAATACCAGACTGTATGTAGCTGAGTGAATAAAAATAAGTCATTTGGGGGAAATTCTGCATTTATTTTAATTTTGATACCTATTATTTCCACTAAGACTTTTTGGAATACCTCCTTTGGAGATTCCTCCAGAACTGGTGACACATTTTTTGTTAGGGTTCACAACCACCCCAGGGTGTATGTGCAGACCAGGGCGCCTGCTGTTAGGAAGGAAGGGGGCGGTAGAGATTGGGGGGCTGCATTTCAATCCAGATCACAGACTCCTGGTGCTCAAAGGCTCTGTGACAGCCCTTAGCTGGGGATTTCAGATTGGTAGTGGCTGGTTAAGTCTCACAGAGCCTCCACATGGGATTGGGTGGGGTGATCCACGGTCCTCCGTTTATGGAGGAAAGAAGCCGTGGGAGGTAAGAGACGGTAAGCTCTAGTTAGTTATGTCGCTTAGAATTCATGCCTTCTGGGTCCCAAGCTCATCCTGTTCAAACTGAGCACATTCGGCCTCTGTGCGGGCAGGGCGTGCTTTATCCTACTCTGACAGGACTCCTGAGGAGGCTTCTAGGGCAGATCTAAGACCATGGGAGGCACACGACTTCACTGAACATGTGTATTGGTATCCCTCCAGGTCATACATAGACTAATTCCTCCACTGTCTTCATACCTTCAATGCAGACCACATGTGGTCGGGTCCTCGTCTATAATGCTAGCACCTTGTGTAATTCACCAAAGGTGATGAATCAGTCCAGTTTCCCCTGTGCTGTGGAATTCTGGATTCTCTGGATAACCCTAAGCCAGGCACTCTTTCCTGAGAGATCAGAGGAGTGGCTGGTTGGGGCTTTGCTCTGCAGGTGAGAACTCGCAGGTGTTCGTCTTGTGGATGGAGAGCATCCATAATTGGGTGTGTTAGAGCAAAGCCTGTTGGACACTCAGACCCTGCAACCTGAAGCACCATTTCCTGCCTGGGAAGAAGACTGAACTTGTCCTTTTAATCCAGTGATTCTGTTCTATGGCAGTTTTCAGAATATGCATTATCCTCATTGGACCTGACTTGAGAAGTCTCTGGGGAAGATTCAGAACCATTGGAAGAATATTATTGTTTAAGACGAGTCTTGGGATTACTCCAGACCATATTGAGATGACTTCGACTGAGTTTTAACATTTTTTAAAGAAATATTATTTTAGTTGTCGATGGACTTTTATTTTAATCATTTATTTATATGCAGTGCTGAGAATCGAACCCAGTGCCTCACACATGTGACACAAGCACTCCACCACCGAGCCAGAACCCCAGCCCAGGAGTTTTAACATCTTAAATGCTTACTGCAGGTGAAATAAACCAAACTATTGTGTTTTCTATTCCCTTCAGTTGAAGTCCAATTGAAATTTGGCACAGATTGACATGAATTATGATTGCAAAAGCTAAATAAAGAAAGTAAGACCCAAAGGTGTCTGGACTTGTCTCCCCAGGTTCCTTTCTCTGTTGACTATTTATTGATCCACTTCCATAAACCCCTAATCTAGCCAATTGCTGTGGCTCATATAAAACAAACAAAAAATGGAATTGCTCTTTCCTCTGTTCACAGGTTGACCTCTGTGGCCTCTAAGCTCAGCTCTGGCACTGTGCAGATGCTGCTGAGGTGAGCAGCTTGTTCAAGTGGCCCATGTTGCCGGGTGTCACTTAAGGAGGAACAGGGAACCTGAGGGACAGAAAGCTGCTCACTAAGTTACCCGTCATTCTCTTCCATACTCATTGGTTGTTTGAAGACATGGGCTAGTTAGAAGAAGTGCCAATCACGAAAACTGTTCCCTCACAGGTGTTTACTGGAGGAGCCATAGGGGTGCATTCCCAGACCAATCAAGGATCAGCATGGGTCCCAGGAAACCATTTAAGGCCATATGCAGAACGCGCGCTGTGTACCTGGAAAGGAGTCCAGTGGCAAATGCGGGGTGGTGAGATAACCAGTGCAGACCATGACCGCATCAAAGGTGGCCGAGCTTTGCTTCCCTTCATGCATTGTGACCACTTCCCACTGGCCAGAGACGTCAAAATCTGGGCGTTTTGTCACACTGCAGACTGTGGTCTGAAAAAAGAATCAGAGACGTGATTAGCAGTTGTCAAGGGGCCCTTAGTGACTTGCTGGCTAATGTGCCAGTGGACATTTCAAAAGTTCTAGAACAAAGACCAAACATAATTAATAAGCACCTCATTCAAATCAAATCAGGCTCTCAGACTAACCATGATTTCTTGGCTGGAAATACTCTAAGCTTGGGGTTGTGGAGGGGTAGCCAGAGATTTTAAGGGACTTGCTCCAATTCTCACAGCAAGTGATAGAACAAAGGTTATATGGAAGGTATCAGATGTCTCTTGGTTTTTGTTTCTGTGGTGCAATGTTCTGTGTCACAGAGCCCTAACAACAGTTCCTTTAATAGAATTATGGATGTATCCTTGAAGACATAGTTTGGTCCCAAGTATCTTAGATTATGGAAAGTTCTATAGAATATGTTGCTGAAATTTTTCCTGACCTAGAGAGCTTTTAAAAATTGCTAAGCTTATGGCCTGAACATTTGGGAGTAGTATAAATTCAAATAGCTTATTTTTTGTTCTCATTGAGTACATACATGTACGAGAGTATTAGAACTCAGGAAGTTTATTTATTTACTTGCAGTACCAGGGACTGAACGCAGAGTCTTGTGCATGCTAGGCAACTGACTTTGCCTTCAGCCCCAGGAAATATATTTATAGTAAACCTAATATAAGTCAGATTTAAAAGCAAAAAAAAAAAATGCACTAACAAAGATACTTTGTTTTTTATTCTATTCAATTTTCAAGGAAGATGGGCTTCCCAGGTCTTCCTAGGTTCATATTATTCAATATGCCTATTGAGTTTCTACGTTTGTATCGTCAACTCTGTCTTTTAGAAAAGGTGTCTTTGAGCTTGCCAGTTCAGCTCTTCTTTACAGAATCCAGAGCTGTTCTATAGAGAAGTAATAGGAAATAGGCAGGAGAACACTTTCTGACCACTAACTGAAGTTTGTGTCTTACCTTGAATTGAATGCATTCCAGAAGGTTGAACTGGTTTGCATACATTTTGAGATATTGCAGGAAATGAGAATTTGGCACATAGTTTGGATAATCTTCTGGGAAGGGAAAATCCGAATAACAAGACATCTCCTTGCTGCTGTTGGAAACCACAGACTTGTAGAGGCTGGCTCTACCCTCTTCAACATGTTCCTGTAGAAACAGTGCTCATGGGTGAGCAGGCATGTGTGCGTGCACACAGACACACACATTCACAATGGATGTAAACCTTTTAGAAATCTCAACAGTGACCAAGCTTAAGGTGATCCAGATGACGCATGATGCCTGCCACCTTTCTAGTAGGATTTGCTGTTCGGCATCTAGGAGATGACATTCGTCCCCAGTATAAATCATGTGATCAGAATCATTCTTTCATTCATCACATGCTAACAAATAAATCCAGGATAAACTTACCTGTTCAAATTCATGCAGTGTCACTGCAAAGACAGGAGAATGGAGAAAGAGATGAGAGCCGAGAAGCAGTTTCTGGACAAGGAACAGTTGTTCCCTACTTTGTTTTCACAGTGTATTCCTGAAATGATTATACCGATTATGGAAGTTTGTATCCAAAGTTAAGGGATGTGGATTTTTACGGAAAGGTCACAGAATCCACTGAAAGTTTTAAAAATGGAAGTGATTCATATTAAATTTTGGAAAAGTTATTCTGGATCTACAAAAGATGGATTAGAGAGGGCTGGACAAAAAGGAAGAGGGTCAGTTAAGAGCCTAAAACACAAATATGTGATTGCTAGTGAGGACCTGAATAGAGGTGGTGGCTGTTGCCACCCAGAAAGCTGGCATCTGTGACCCGTGGTAGGTAGAAGGCATAGGATGCCGGGGCAGTTGGATTTAGGGGCTCCAGTAGAACAGCCAAAGGTTTCCAGATTGAACAACTGTGTGGATGGCACATTCTGACCAGTTTTCTACCCTCCGTTTTGACTGGAGTAACAAGTAAACATCAGCCTCTCATAAGACTGCCCCAAGAAGTTTCGTAATATCTTTACGTTGCATCTGACTTTGGATGTGGAGGATTGCACTCCTGATTTCAGGTTATAAAAAGTCCCTGTATTTCAATGTCATTCGCTATCTTGGATTGGTATAGTTTCTTTTTCCAGGGAAGTCAAAATTATTTTATTTACATAATAAGGGAACATGAACCTCACATACGTAGAGGGCTTACTGTTGCCTCTATAAGGTAGAAAACCTAGACCTGCATGAAATGTGCAGCAATCATAGAGACTAAAAAGCAATGATGAATACCTCTGTGGTTTAAACCAACATGACTGATCTCATCAGTTGATTTGACTTTTTTTTAATAACCTGCCTATCTGTGACTCCATATCCGACAGCTTCGTTGATCTAGAACAAAGCTAGAAATCTGGAGGCTGAAAGGCCTCTGGGAAGGTGGCTCTAAACCTTGCTCTGTTATCTCACTGGAATACCTACAGCAGCACTAATCAAGGGTCGTGTGATGGAGGTACCAATATGAGCTGGTGGTCACCAGTCTGTGACAAGATACTTGCAGAAATTGAGGGTAAGCATCCAGAACCTTCTACAGCAACAATGGGACACCATTCAGCACCCAAGTTCATGCAGAACTCTTTGTGGCACAGGACGTAGCTGGGCCTCGTTTCCTGGTCTCCTTTGAGTTGCGTGGAGTCCAGCCTGTGCTCTAGCTGCAGACCTAGAACTGCAGCAGAATGTGTGGTGTTCAAGCCTCGTTGGAAACTGTCATACCTAAGTGCATAAAATACGGAATCTTTTCACTTCACTGAAAAAAAACCCTTATCTTTAAATATAAACTTACAGAATGAATTATTTGAACTGACTACTGAGAAAGGAAGAAGATAGATTTTTAAAAACAGCACTGTTTGCTTCACATTGCATAGCAGTTTTATTTTCTTTAAAAAGAATTCCTTGCACTTGCTGAGATGGTGTTAAAACCTCTTCCTCATTCTAGTCAGCACACCCCTGAGCCTTGTTTTCCTACTCTGAGCACTGTTAGGCAACACTTAGTGTAGATTTACATTGTTCCACTGAAAGATTATCTCCATCCATCCAATTCAGATTAGGTACCTTGATAAGCAAGAAGCAAGATCCTCATATCAAAAAAAAACCTTAAATATCAATACACACTGTGTATTCAAAGTGTGTCTGCAGGTATTTAATATGGAAAACTGCTATTTCATACCGAGTGTTTTGTTTGGCTGAAAGGTACAAGTGTAATAGTGGCTGTCTGTGTTAATTACCTATGTGCACAGAGAACAACGTGTCATTTTTTGTCATTATTTTCTATGTTTAGTGATATTTATGAAAATTAATCTTATGACTTTTGACTCAATACAAATTTTGAATTAATTGTTTCTCATACATTTTTGTTGGTGTACTTTTCATTTTTTTCTAAAAATTCATTTTAATTACATTTGACAAATAATAGCCTGTAGTTAATTGGAAATGAAGAAAACCCAGTTGTTCTCTCCAGTCTGAGAAGCACAGCTGTCCATCCCAGTGCCTCTGAATGTTGCTAAGAGCTGCCGGGAAAAATCTTACTAATGTGTGGATTCTGACTCAGTAGGACTGGGTGAGCCTGAGAGTCTGCATTTTAACAGTTTCCAAAACATAGTCCCATCTTTGAGTTACATCCTGCTGGCCCATGGACCATGCCTTAGCAAAAGGCTTTACAACAGCTTTGCGCAGTAGGAATGCAGAGGGGGCCACATATGTGGCTTTAAATTCTCTAGTGGCCACAGTTTTTCAAAAAGTAAAAAGAAACAAGTGGATTAATTTTTAAAGTCTATTTTACTTGACTCAATATATTCAAAATATTATGATTTTAAGATGCAAGAATGTTGCACATTCTTCTCAGACTGCCTTCAAGATACGATGTGTGTTTTCCACATAAGCAGTCAAATGCTCAATTTTCACTAGAAAAAGTGGACTCACCCATGTTGATCCAAGTATACTCAGAAGTTCTACAATAACTGAACTGAGTCCAAAATTGAAATCAGTTGAGATAAAAAATTCAGTTCCTTCGTCATACCAGACACATTTCAAGTGCTCCATGGCTCTGTGTGGCCAGTGGCCACCGCATTCTGGAGCCTAGTTTGAGAACATCCTTCGACGTGAAGGTGGGCATTAGAACCACGCGTGAAGTTGGTTTGCTTTAATCTAAATGGTAACTGGGAACAGGAATAAGAAGAGTAGCCCTGAAGATCTATAAGATGAACACACACCCAGGGGGGAGCTGCAGAGGGGGAGAAAACATGCATCATAAACATGGTGGGATCGACCAGCGCAGGCCAACGTCCCCTCACACTTCTCTGGCCCCCAAGCCACAGAGTGAATACTTTATTGTTCATGCTGCCAGTTATTGGTTAACAATAATACAAGGCTAACACACTCACACACACTCGCACCCACATCCACATACACACTCACACTCTAACACACGGAAAGTTTAAGGAGGCTGAGATACATGATGTGCTTTGTGAGGATTTACTTAAGAGTCTTTCAAAATGGAAAGCATTTGTCATGGCTTGTTTCAGCATCAGAGAGTAAAGGGGACTTGCTGGAGCTGGATAAGCAGGAACCTTGTATTTTATGAGACCTTAAAGCAAATGGAAATAAAAAATGAAACAAATGAAAACAGAAGAGAAAACCCCCTCTTTGCATAAGGGAAGGAGAAGCAGGCAGAGAAGAAGGCTTGGCGCAGCACTGGAGCCTGTGGTGAGATAATGTATCACAGATGCAGCCACCGAGGAGTGGTGGAGGGAGAAATTTAGCCCTCAGGGTGGAATCCAAGAACAGCTCCGCCTCCCTCTTGCCTCCCACTAGCTGTTTTTCCTGGAAAAGCCCAAGTCTGGGGTATTGGGCACAGGCCCAGGCAGCAGGGTCACGTCCCTTGTCAGTGCAGGAGGCTCATGGTGTGTTCGAGCTGGAAAGCACCTTCAAGAACACCTCCTTTGGGCATTTTCAAAGTACTCTCAGGGTTCTCCCAGAGACTTGTCTATCCAGAGAAGTCTGCTAAATGAAGCTCGGGTGGATTTTCCTACTTCCCAGGCGACTGATGATTCAGCACTGTCCTTTTTTCAAAGTGCTCCATGGGTTCATTTTATAAGTGAGGTGACAGGCGGAACGACTTGGTGGTGGGGAGGCATTTACCTGGTCCACTACTGCACCGTCCTCTGATGTCCTACCACGTTCCTCGCCATGTCTCTTCGCCAGCTCCTCTATTTCCCCAGTCCTCCAGTTCCCCTGGCCACCCCTGCACCCTCCTCGTCCCCTGCCGCTGAGGCCGAGGCTCTGGGGTGCTGCTCCTGCGCCCACCTTTCCTCTCCCTCAGCGCTGGCCTCTCTGCCTCTCCAGGTACAGTCCCACTGCTCCCGTCTGCCAGGGTCTTGTCCCAGCCTGGACTGGTGTCCAGTGGTCAGTGGCCTCCTGCTGCCCATAGATCCTCTCTTCACCTACAGACCTCTCTGCGTCTTCCTATCACACACACAACACAACTCATGGAGAACAGCTGCAGGCACAACCACAACCACGACTCGTGATTTTGTTCAAGCTGCTTTTCAAGCAGAATTTGAACTTCTGGCCCAGACATTCAGCCACCCTCCTCCTTCCCATTATTCCTCTAAACCAAAAGGCTTTTGAATTTCCTGAACACACCTGGCACTTTCTCTTGGTTGGTCCCTCCCTGGCACCTTCTGTCCAGCCTCTTGTGCCTGTTGGAGTCCTTCAGGGCCGTCATCAGGCCTCTCTTCCAGGAACCTCCCCTGGCTCCCTGAGTCTCCCCCATGTGACCATCCAGGCGCCATCTCTGACTTGCAGCATGTGGGCTTCTCCCATCTGCCTGACGGCTCCCTGAGCAGGCGGACCCGTCTCACTTCTGTGTCCCCCTGCATGGGTGTGTGATCTGCACAAGTCACACCGCCAGTTGCCTTCAGCTGGATGGAGACCTGTTTCTCTTCATTCTTAGATGAGTGAGTTTTAGTGTAAAGAATAAGGAGAATTTTTTGTTGTTGTTTTTTGTACAGGGGATTGAACTCAGGGGCTCTCAACCTCTGAGCCAGCATCCCCAGCCTTATTATGTATTTTATTTAGAGACAGAATCTCACTGAGCTGCTTAGTGCCTCGCCATTACTAAGGCTGGCTTTGATCTCGCAATACTCCTGTCTCAGTCTTCTGAGCCCCTGTGATTATAGGTATATGTCACCGCTCACTTCCTGCTTAGGGAGCATTTTGTCATCCCAAGAGGCTAAGTGCAGCTTTTAGTCTTTGGACTCGCTTTTTGCCTTGACTGAGATCACCCTAGCCAAACAACTCTGCTACTTGGGCAGTTTTATCTTTCAGGAAACTCCCAGCTCTGACTGATTGTGTTTGTCTGGAATACCTGAAGGAATCTGAGACTTATCAGAGGAAAGGTCCACTGCTTGATTAGTATTGTCCTCAGTGGACACAGGGTGGGGAGAGTTTGGCTCAGGTATCGGGGCTCCGCCATCCTGTTGGACCATACGCAGTTTGAATTATGGGGACAGATGTGCTCTGTTGCATCTGTTTTTGGAGAGCCTGCGCCTCTCAGTGATCACATATGGTGGCTGGGCGCATTCTCAGATGCACACTTCTGTGTGCGAGCCACGCTGGCCGGTGCTGGCGGACTGTGCCCAAACCAGCAGCCCTAGCCTCTCTGAAGCTTCGCTCACTGAATTATAAAATTATTGACTCTGGTTCCAAATTCTGCAGTGCTGTAATGGAGGAACGCTAAGTTTTTTCCCTTGAGCCTCTCAGAGGCTCTGAGGCCATCGGACACCTTGTTGTCACGATTCCTGACAATGTTCCTCTTCACAGATTCAAAACTCATGGGAAATATTTTGCCCTGCAGGAGTCTAAACAGGAGTTTGGGGGAGCTCTGCTGTAGCGCCCCACAGCGGAGCACTGGGGCTCCACAACGCTGTCTGTCTGGGTTGGGTTTCAGTGACCAGAAGCAGGGCTGCTGGGCGCCCCCGGGGCTCCAGGCCAGTTAGGTGAGAGTTCTAGTCCCCTCTCCTATCCAGCCTGCAACCCTGTTAAGGTTTTAGAATATGGCTTCTCTTTTGTTTGGGGAACCAAAAAGACTTCAAACTCATCTTCTTTGTTTCTGATTGTTCCCAGCTGGCCTGGGATTGCTTGGGCCCAGGACCTGGGACTCATCCTGCACTGAGCCCTGGCCACTCTAATGCAGGTGTGCGTAAAGCAGGGGTCTTGCAGGCAGAGGCTGGAGTTCCTGCTGTTACCCCCACGCTGCAGGCTCTGGGCTGCTTAGACCCTGGCTCTGCGCCTACTCCCCGTCCTGGGCTTGCCCGGTCACCCCCTTCCTTCCAAACTCTGTGGCTTGCTCGTTGACATCTCCTCCCCCTCACCCTGGTGCAATCCTCAGGCTGCGGCACACCTCCCTCCCGCCCTCAGCCGAGCCCATTTTGTCTTTGACACTTTCAGCGCCCCTCCTGCCCCCCATCCCGCAGACATTGGCCTATCCCGGGGGCCACCAGCCCTTGTGAAGGAAACACGGTCTCCTGTTACAGCGCTCAAGCCACCTCCGACAGACAGAAGCTCAGAACCCCACTCACGGTGAACCTCCACAGCCCCCCGAGGTCCTCGCTCCTCTCGAAGCAGGTGGGCTGCAGCCCCTCCTCCAGGCAGCACTTGACCGAGGCCAGGCCACTGACGCCGGCTCCCACGACCGCCACTCGCTTGGCCATGATCTCCTGAGTGGGAAAAGGCAGCGGAGCTAAGACTGGATCCACAGAAGCCCCACCCCACCCTTGGCAGCCCCGACAACCAGGAAAAGAATCTGAGGATTAGGAGGTCTCTCAGTCTGAGTCCTCTGTGGCCACCTCTGGCGTGTGGGAGCGGGACCTGTGGGTCGCTGGCTGACTGTGCGGGGTTCTTTCCTCCCCTCCGCTGGAGCTGTGCCTGAGGTGTGTCCCTTGGCAGAGGGTGTGGCAGAAGGTGACAGCAGAAGCTTGCATTCTGGACAAGCTGCCCCAGCCTCCCCTCTCCAGGACGAGAGTGGAGCAGGCAGCAGGTCAGGGTTCCCTTCTTCCCACTATGGGAAGGTTCCCTGTGCATGACACTGAGGGGCCACACAGCAGCCGGCTGGGTGGGGTTGGGGCCACATGGGTGCTGCACCACACTGCCCAGTGCTGGCACTTGCCAGGGCCCCAGCTGTGCCGCTGACTTGGGCTTCTTTCCCTAGTCACCAGTGCATGGTCACCAGTGCAAGACAGAGTGTGGCTGCCCGTGAGGACGTGTGGTGGAAAGGCAGGCACGGAAGGCCACCCCTCCTACGCAGTTGGACAATAGTTCACCTCTGGACGCGCGTATTGCAGTCACCATCAGCACAGGTTAGAGAATCTTCTGTCCCTGGGCCACAAGTTAACGGCACAGACTTGTAAGAATGCAGAGAGGCAATATGGCATGTTGATCAAGCAACTGGCTCTATCAGTTACTGCTGTGTGACCTTGGGTAGACTACTTACTCTTTCTGGTCATCATACAAATGGAGAAAATAGAACCAAGCTAGTTCACCCATGTGAAAGGTTTTAGAACAGTTCCTGGCCCATCCTCAGTACTCGATAAATGCAAGGTATTATAACAATAAAGACATTTCCAAAATGGGTTCCCACTTTTGGCTTTCACACCGAGTCTGTGTCCTTTAATTTCTGTTCAGTAGTACACACGTGTAGCACAAAGGCAAATGACGTTGGATATTTCCTAATTTGTGTTTGAGACCATTTTTCTCCTCAAGTTTGGGAATTTTAAAAGCACAAGAGAAGCTCCCCAAGACATAGTTTTCCTGGACATTTGCTATTTTCCTTTTTCACAGACAGACTCTCCTCGAGGCTGGATAGGCATCTTCCCGCGTTTTTAGGATTGGGGACTCAAGAGAAGCAGGTCCCCTTCAGGGACGTCACTTGTCCTATTCCTTCCTGTGCCTCCCATGTCTGAGGGCAGCATTGGAATGTCATATAACAGGTGCTTAGTAAAGCTGGGGGTCTCCAGGCGGAGGCTGAGAGGACGGCCTTGAGGATTCCAACAGGCACAAGAGGCTGGACAGAAGGTGCCAGGGAGGGACCAACCAAGAGAAAGTGCCAGGTGTGTTCAGGAAATTCAAAAGCCTTTTGGTTTAGAGGAAGAATGAGAAGGAGGAGGGTGGCTGAATGTCTGGGCCAGAAGTTCAAATTCAGCTTGAAAAGCAACAGGTAGAGAGCAACTTGGGATGAAAAGGCCCTTCTGGTGACTGGATGTGGTCTCCCTGGAAGAGCTGGCCCTCTCCTGTTAGGGGAAGCCACGCTTTAGACCCTCATGCCCTGTAGGATCCAGACCTCTATAACCCCTGCCTGGCGTAGGGGGCGGAGGGTGACCCGACACCAGGAAAGGCAGCTGGAGGGGACATTGCAGGAGGCACGTGGGCTCCAGGTCCTTTCTCATGAAAAAGCTTGGTGACGGGAAAACTGCTCACCCTCTTGAGCCCCAGAGCCCTCATTTGCAAGATAGGATACGATGCTGGCCATTTTCGTGGGACATAACAGGCACCCATTAAGAACGCTCCCTTTCATGACTCTGGGTGCAAGAAGGAATTGCGTGTGAAAGGCCTTGGAGGCCATGCCGAAGCACGGTGCGCCCCGCAGTGTGGTCAGAGCCCTTGGCAGGACTGCAGGAAGCAGAGCAGGTCACTTGGAGGGAAGCTGAGGAGCCACTTCAAGCCCAAGGCTGGGAAGGAGGGTGAGGCCCTTTCCTTCCTGCAGCTTCTCTGAAACCGGGAGGAGGGCCGCAGGGGAGGCACAGCTTCCCCAGAGAGAGGCTGGCAGTGTCCATCACGCCACTGCATCCAGGGGTGGCCTGGACAGGAGCAATGGGCTCTGTGTGGCCAGGACCCGTGTCCTGCTTGTCCTTGCTTAGCATGCTGCAGGCTCAGGTGCACACCTGCTCACTAGGAGCTGCTGGGAGACCCAGTCGGATGGAATCATCTAATCCAGTTGTTAATCTGGGCCCAGAGGAACCAGCGGCACCTGGTTCTGCTATGAGCTAACTGTGGAGGCCTTGGGCAAGGAACTGAACTGCCCTCGGCTCACTTTGCAAAAGCATTCAAGGAGTGACTCGTAATCCAAGGGCCTGATGTGATGGTGGAGCATCTGCCTTTACACCCAGAGGAGCAGCATTATGCCAGGTGGGACTGCAGAGGCTGTGTGAGCTCAA